AACTCACAGATATCCACCTGTCTCTAACTCCCAAGTGCTGGGATTAAAGGCCTATGCCACCACACCTTGAATTCACAGAGATTTGTTTGCCTCTGCCTCCCAAGTGTTGGGATTAAAGGTGTGTGCCACCATACCAGTGTCTGTCTCAGGTAGGAGATCCATGGTGTCTGCCACCCTGCCCTTCTTCCCAGCATTCAGTTCTGTCTATTCCACCTACCTAAGTTCTGTCTTATCAACTAGGCCAAGGCAGTTTCCTTATTCATTACCCAATGAAAGCAACACACAAACAGAAGAAACTCTTACACCATTTCCCCTTTTCTGTTTAAACAGAAAGGAAGACTTTAACATGTGACAAGTATCAAGCAAGGATTACAGTTACAATATTTATATCTATTTTATCTTTTATCATAACAAAGGAAAACTATAACTATATATTTTTCAACTCTATCAAAGACATTAGTAGAATATAATATTACCTATGTAAACTGGAAGTGTATTATAAACAACTTCTAAAGCTCTAGAATTGACAGAGACATCTCACTGCCTACAAGTCACCCAAAGTTCTTCTGTACTGTTGGGGCATCTACCTTCAGCTTACAAACTCATAGTATCCAGCAGATATTTCCATGAAGCAGGAAATTTTAATGACAGTTTAGTAACTTTCTTCTGTGTCTCACAAACACTGTTATGAAACAGGAATTCTGAAGGATCGTCTTACCTCTAGGCAAGTTCAGCAGTCATCTCTCTGTGGGTTCTTCATGTCTAGTTTATGTATCCATCCAGGCAAGAGCAGTTTCTTGCCCAAATGGCTAACCAACTCCATACGGAGCCTCTTTGATGCCCATCTTCCTCAGGAAGTAGCTTGGTACTGCCAGGAGCAGATGAATCTCATTGTCATGAAAATCCCTAAATTATTAAAACATTATAAATTCTGTAGTCGTTGAAAGTTATGAAGAATGCCTATCTAACTGAAATATATCTCTATATATCTAGAAAATCTAACATGACTACAGCTTGACTATTATTGATGATTATCCATTAACAACTATATTTTCTAATTATACATTACATTTTTACTTGACCTACACAATTACAATACCTTAATCAAGAACAGAAATATAAATATAACAAAATTGACCTTAAATTTATATCAATAAAGCAAAATCCATACCAATGCAAATTATTCATATTGATATCATATCCCCCTTTAAGTGTAAATAAACAGTTATAAACAATATTTGGGAATATGAATGTAATTATTTTTCTCCAACCTTCTTTCTGCAGTATGGGAGTGCTATTGTGCTAGGTTCATCTCAGTCAGCAGTTTGGTGAAGCATTTCCTTTGTGGGGGTGCTCACTGTGACCTTTCAAAAGGACTAGGTCCATGAAACCATATTTGTATGGAGGCATTCCACAGGTTCTCATCTTCTGTGAAAACAAAAGAAGAACCTCTTTTCCAAAGCACCATATCCTTAGACCCAAATTCTGAAGTCAAGATACCTTTATAATATACATGTTGGTTTAGTTTAGCAGCCCATACAATTAAACGTGTTTCTTTACATAGCTCCTTCACAGTCAAAACATTCAAAAACAACACAATAACATACATAATCCAAACTCTCTGTGAATTTTCCATTTTTACATGGCTTATTTTTACTCTGTCACTTTACTCTGTCTCTTTAAAGACTTTACCCATTTTTAAAGCATTAACTTTATTTTATGACTCTATATACTCTGTATTTCTCTCCCAAGTCTATGTACATTTATCCAACACTGTGACTCCTTTAGAGGTCACTCATGTCTGAATCTGACCTATTGTGAATCTGTAATTGTTTACTGTTCAAAAACACTTTCTCTTAGTGCTATTAAAACGCTAAGCATTTAAGAATCTAAGCTGCAACAATCCTAGGTCAAATACAGGTTTCTGCCTGCATGCCCCACCCAGCCCAGCATGGTGGAGCCGCTCATGTCTCTGAGCCATGTGCACTGCTAGCATTGCAGAGCCACTTGTGCCTCTGGGTTACTTTTGCCTCTGAGCCCTGCACAGTGCCCGCCTTCCAGGCATAGAGTGAGTCCAGTTGCCATCAAACAAACAGTAGCACTTTACTCAAAAAACCCATCCAAATGCTCTGTTTCCCACAAGAGCCAGAGGTCATGCTAGCAGCATAGCCCAGAAAGCAGGCATTTCAAAACTCTCATGGCTTTTTTTTTCTGACTATAGCTGAGTCAGTAAAATCTCTCTTAAAGCAGCTGTGTCAAGCCACCAGCAAACAGAAAGAAACTGTGTTAAACTCTATTGTTTTTGAAGCTCTCTCAGATTTTATGTGGATTTATTTGCCCATGTGAGCACCACTCTGCAACTGGAGTAGTGGGCTGTTGTCATCCTGGCCACCCGGCTATTTAACACCCAAAATAATTACACAGAAAATATATTCATTAAAATACTGCATGGCCCATTAGCTCTAGCTTCTTATTAGCTAATTCTTAGATCTTAATTTAGTCAATTTTTGTGAATCTGTGTATCAACATGTGACTGTGGCTTACCGGCAAGTTTCTAACCAGCATCCATTTCAGGTGGGAGATCAATGCCATCTGCTACTCTGCCCTTCTTCCTAGCATTCAGTTCTTTCTACTCTGCCTACCTAAGTTCTGTCCTATCAATTAGGCCAAGGCAGTTTCTTTATTCATTACCCAATGAAAGCAACACACAAAAGAAGAAACTTCTACATTAATGACTCCGTGCCTAGGGAATGGTGGTGCCCACTTTGGGCTGGGTCTTCTCATATCAATTAACTTAATTAAGTCAGTCTTCTATAGACATGTCTACAGGCAAACCCAGTATAGACAATATCTCATTAAGACTCTCTTCTAGGGAGTTCTAAGTTGTATCAAGTTAGATTGTTATCAAAGATAACAATCAGAGTCCCTTTGAAAACATGGCTATTGAAGTATCAAAAGGCACTTGCTAACACCATGGCTTTGATGGGACTGTGTGTGATAGTGCAGCCTTTGACCTTAACTCAGAATAAAAGAGAATTTGGAATGTGGCTTTAAGTAACAAAACTGTGTCAATCAGCTTTTTATAACTTTAATAATCCTCTGATATGTAGAAAGTTTAGATATGTAAAAATCTGATTGATATGTAGAAAGGATTACTTTGGCTCAAAGCTCCAGAAGTTTTGGTCTATGTCATTGGATTGTGTGGTTTAGAAGCCTGCCATGAGGCAGTTCATGATGACAGAAGGATAGATGGAATGAAATCATTCATCCTGAAACTGGGAAGCAAAGTTGAATGAGGAAAAGGCAATGGTTGTACTCCAGATGACCTGAAGACCCAATACTGATGGAGGAAGGTCATTGGCTAATAAAGGAACTGCCTTGTCCCATTTTATTGGTTAGAAGATAGGTGGGAGGTGTAGACAGGACAGAACGCTGGGAGGAAGAGGAAGTGAGGTCAGACTCCACAGCTCTGCTCTCCGGAGCAGACGCCTCAGCAGAGACGCCATGCCCTGCTCCCTGGCAGACACACGCGATGAAGGTCCGACCCAGGATGGACATAGGCTAGAATCTTCCTGGTAAGCGCACCTTGGGGTGCCATACACAGATGATTAGAAATGGGCTAAATTAATATGTGAGAATTAGCCTAGAAGAGAATGGGCCAAGCAGTGATTAAAAGAATACAGTGTCCGTGTAATTATTTTGGGGCATAAGCTAGCCGGGCAGGCGGCTGGGGTGTTGGGGACGCAGCCCCGCCGCTGACCTTTTTACTACACAATACCATGTTGGGACTCATAAGACTCCAGAGGTGCCTCCTGTGAAACAAATCTGTCACACATGAGCTTTTGGGAAACATTCTATATTAAAACAATGGGGGATTCCTTTTTAATATTATAGAAACCAGTGCATGTACATGCAACACTCATAAGTACACGCAACATATATATGTACATATACATACAAAGTTTAATTTTTCATATGTTGAATATATAAGAATATCTGAAGTAGTAGGGTATAACTCAGTTGTAGAGCACTTCTCTGTTGACAGAGGCTTCTGTCCTGCCCAGTTCTGCTGCCATTTGGTGGTGCGGGAGAATTGTCTGTATTCTATCAATCATGTTATGAATAAACACTGATTGGCCAGGCAAGAAACACAGGCAGGAAAACCAGAAAGGATGTAGAAATGATGTAATGAGTACAGTAGAATTCTGGAAAGGAGGAAGTTGATTCCTCCCACTCCTGCCCAGACCACCGAAGCAGCAGGATGTGATATGCCCCACTGAAAAAAGGTACTGAGCCATATGGCTAAAATAGATCAGAAAAATGGGTTCATCAAGATGTGAGAGTTAGCCAATGAGAGGCTAGAGCTAATGGGCCAATCAGCTTATAATTTATGGAGACCTATGTGTGATTTTCTTTGGGGCTAAACAGTTGTGGGGTACCGGGCGGGCAAGAAACCCAAACAAGCAGGCCTGACCCTCTATGTTACAATTTGGTCTCAAAGAAACACACAAAGATTACATTAATTATAAAATGGTTGGCCTATTAACTTAGGCTATTTATTAATTAACTTATATATCCTAAATTACCCCATAATTTTTGTCTGTGTTAGCTTTGTGGTTTGGTAAATTTTATCAGTGAGGCATTTTTGTCTTTCTTCCTCTTTGTGTGGGTAACAACTGTGGATTGAGCCATTCCTCTTCACAGAATTATCCTATTCTGGTCAACCTGTGTATACATTGTGCCTGATCACCCCACTTATACTTCTTGACTAGCTACCGGCCAATCCATGTTTTATTAAAGCAATAAAAGTGACAAATCTTTACAGGGTACAAGACCATTGTCCCACAGTACTTACCAATTTTGCCAGATTTTTTAACAAGCTCTACAAAGGAAGGAAAATAAATCTAATGTTAAAAATGATTCAATCTCAAGGCTTCTTTTTATTGTGCAAGCAAACTCTTTGTGTGCTTGTGTAACTTCCTATTTTTGTTTACTTCCAGGGATTTTAGAAGCAGGAAACATGGTTGGCCCTTTTACTGGACTTTTGTTGGCATCTTTCTGTGCAAACATCTATGTAGACACTGGGTCTGTGAATACAGGTAAAATACATTTTATTTATATAGTATACTCTCTAGAGTGTAGGAGATTGCCCCAGATTGCTATTCTGCTGCCTCCTTTGATCCTTAGTTGGGCATATTATCACTGCTTAGAATCTGCAGACCAAAAAGGAACAGAGGTAAGGATAAAATGTCACCTTCTAATCAAGAATCCCCCATTCTCCCACCACATTGCAGCCACACCTTTGGTATCAGAGGATTTACTCACATAGATTTTTCTCAATGAGTCAGTCACTGTGGATAATGAAAGAGATCTTTCTGTTATGTCATAATCACCAATTTAAAAGGTTTTATATAGAATATTCATTAACTGATAGAAAATATATTGTATAAGGGGCCTAGCCCCAGAAGTACAGAGAAACTGCAGGGGAGATATAGAGGAGGTGAACTATGGGACATATGCACAGACACCCATGGGCACTTAATCTGAGGTCCAAAGCTTAGTTTTTTGTTTTTCTCTCTGCTGGTTGCTCTTACTCAGTTCTATGTCTGTTCAATTCTTTTACCCCATTATTTTTCTTTAACTTCCCTTTCCAGTTGTTCTCCTGCTGTATCTTCCCTTAAGAAGAAAATCATGCCTAACTTTGGATTCAGGGACATAATTATTTTCTTTAATCATCTGATTTGACTCAGGAAGAATTCATGGGTCTATATTGCATGAAGCTTTCCTGCTTTTATTTTCCTTCTCCTGCAAATCTCTTATCTAACAAAAAGCAAGGTAACTACTAGACTATATTTGCCCCTTTTGTATGTTTTATTGGAGCAACTGGCAGAATAACTTTTTTTTTTTAAGTTTTTTGAGACAGGGTTTCTCTGTGGTTATGGAGCCTGTCCTGGAACTAGCTCTTGTAGACCAGGCTGGTCTCGAACTCACAAAGATCCGCCTGCCTCTGCCTCCCAAGTGCTGGGATTAAAGGCGTGCGCCACCACCGCCCGGCTGGCAGAATAACTTAAATCATGTCTTTAATCATGTTTACTAATAGTCCTAACTACCTGCATCTTTTACACAAACTCAGGAAGGCAATCAAATCATTGATTGAACTCAGCACCATTACTCTTTTGAAAATCATTTTTTTATTATCTACAAATGAATTGACCAGTGAGGAGTGGGATTTTTTTTTTTAAGAAACAAACAGAGTATACTAGTTACAATGAAGTTCCTTCATACAAATTATACCATGCCAAATACAGCAGAAACATGGCAGCAGCAAACATAATGAAGCACAGAAAATAAAATTGGCATTCTGCAAACAAACTTAGGGGCTCTGCCTCTCCAGTATGTACCCAGGTAGCTTTGTCATCCTCTGAGCTGTATTCCATAAGATTCATTTCTGTCTGCTGCTTCTATGACATGGCCTCTGGCAATATATCACCATGTATGTCAAGATCAAACTCGTTAAGTTTCTTAATGAATACACAAAACAAAGATAATGCATGTCATGTGATGTTTTATTACCTTAATTTTTGTACATGTGTATGTGCACTATGTATATGGGTGCCTACTGAGTTTGGAAAAGCGTTACAGATGTTTTAAAATCACAATTACAGGCAATAGTAAGTTTCCATGAGTGTGGTGGAAATAGAACTCAGAGCATCTGCAAAGAGCAGCAATAACTCTTAGTCATTGAATTTTCTCTCCACTTCGCTTTTTCACTCAATGTGATGCTTTGAGAGATGAACACATCAGGTTCAAACTGGTTCCTTAAATGTCTCAAATCATTCTTATGTCATTTTGAAATGAAGTTTTAACTACAATGTTTATAGAAAGCCAGAACCTATCTTTCTTAGATAATTTCATCTCCATCCAATTGATCAAACTCAGACAGTTTTTCTACAGGTCTGAATTTACCCAAAGGGGTGGAAGATATTTGTAATCATAGCATTTAGGAGTAGAGGCAGGGACCACAGTAAATAACCTCAACAAGAACAAATGTGAATAATTTACAAACAATGCACAAATGTTGTGTTAGATGGGATTATGATTCTTAACAATTTTCTACAATTCGGAAAGAATGAATCAAGCTAACAAAATATCTGTATTTCTCCACAGATGACCTGACCATAACTCCCACTGATACACGCTGGGTCGGTGCTTGGTGGGTCGGCTTTTTGATCTGTGCAGGAGTGAATGTCCTGACCAGCATCCCCTTTTTCTTTCTTCCCAAAACACTCCCAAAGGAAGGACTAGAGGATACTGAAGATGTGACTAACAGCAACAAAGAAGAGAAACACCAAGGAAAAGCCAAAAAGGAAAAACATGGAATCACTAAAGGCAAACAGACAAACCTTAACCTCTGTATTTGGTTTAGATGGGTCTGCAGGTAGTAGAGCATGTGTCTGCTGTGCTGAGTTAAGATGGTTTGTCACTAAGGGTCCCTAATCAGATACCTTAAACTTCTTTGCAAGTTACTGCTTGAATTACAATTCACATAATTTGTAAATGACGCATTTTAGATTATAATTTATAAAAAATGTATCATTCCGGACACTCAATGAGCAAATATATTATCCCACCTGTTTTGAAAAGTCTATTTTATAGAAAATATTGTTTTAAGTTAAAAAACAATGACCAAAAAATTTAAGGTGAAAACAATGGGAGAGAATTACCTGTACTAAGGTAACACCATAAATTGATACGAAAAATGACAGTTTAGCTATGAGCATGCTTGAAGTTAAGATTGGAGGAGAAAACCTGAGAGGTGGCATAATCTTCTGTATTTGAAGGTGTGTGATAGATTACTCAAGAACTGTTCCCCAAGGAACAGACTGTTCAAAAACAAGCAGAAATGTTTTCAACCTCTCGTGCAGAGCAGTGGTGCATCTGTGAGAAGCTGAGTAGTCGAGACCGCCCATCCCTTTATGTATGTATGTATGTATGAATCAGTCTTTTCTTATATTACATACAAATCTCAGTTCCCAATCCCTCCTCTCCTCCTCCTCCCCTGATCTCTATTCTTTTTTTTTAATTTTTTTTATTTATTAAAGATTTCTGCCTCCTCTCCGCCACCGCCTCCCATTTCCCTCCCCATCCCCAGATCAAGTCCCCTCCCTCATCTGCCCAAAGAGCAATGAGGGTTCCCTGCCCTGTGGGAAGTCCAAGGACCACCCACCTCCATCCAGGTCTAGTAAGGTGAGCATCCAAACTGCCTAGGCTCCCACAAAGCCAGTACGTGCAGTAGCATCAAAAACCTATTGCCATTGTTCTTGAGTTCTCAGTAGTCCTCATTGTCCTCTATGTTCAGCGAGTCTGGTTTTATCCCATGATTTTTCAGACCCGGGCCAGCTGGCCTTGGTGAGTTCCCGATAGAACACCCCCATTGTCTCAGTGTGTGGGTGCACCCCTTGCAGTCCTGAGTTCCTTGCTCGTGCTCTCTCTCCATCTGCTCCTGTTTTGGACCTTAAGATTCCAGTCCAGAGCTCCATTATGGGTCTCTGTTTCTGTCTCCTTTCACTGCCTGATGAAGGTTAATATTCAGGAGGATGCCTATATGTTTTTCTTTGGGTTTACCTTTTTATTTAGCTTCTCTAGGATCACGAATTATAGGCTCAATGTCCTTTATTTATGGCTAGAAACCAAATATGAGTGAGTACATCCCATGTTCCTCTTTTTGGGTCTGGCTTACCTCACTCAGGATAGTGTTTTCTATTTCCGTCCATTTGTATGCAAAATTCAAGAAGTCCTTGTTTTTTACTGCTGAGTAGTACTCTAATATGTATATATTCCATACTTTCTTCATCCATTCTTCCATTGAAGGGCATCTAGGTTGTTTCCAGGTTCTGGCTATTACAAACAATGCTGCTATGAACATAGTTGAACATATACTTTTGTTGTATGTTCGGGCATCTCTTGGGTATATTCCCAAGAGTGGTATTGCTGGGTCCAGGGGTAGGTTGATCCCGAATTTCCTGAGAAACTGTCACACTGCTTTCCAAAGTGGTTGCACAAGTTTGCATTCCCACCAGCAATGGATGAGTGTACCCCTTTCTGCACATCCTCTCTAGCAAAGGCTATCACTGGTGTTTTTTATTTTAGCCATTCTGACAGGTATCTTAAAGTTGACTTGATTTGCATTTCCCTGATCGCTAAGGAAGTTGAGCATGATCTTAAGAGTCTTTTGGCCATCTGAACTTCTTCTGTTGAGAATTCTCTGTTCAGCTCAGTGCCCCATTTTATAATTGGTTTGATTAACCTTTACGGTCTAGTTTCTTGAGTTCTTTATATATTTTGGAGATCAGCCCTTTGTCAGTTTCGGGGTTGGTGAAGATCTTCTCCCAGTCAGTGGGTTGTCTTTTTGTCTTAGTGACAGTGTCCTTTGCTGTACAGAAGCTTCCCCTGATCTCTATTCTACTCAACCGCAATTCACTCATCAGAGAGGGTAAGGCTCCCTATGCAGAATCAACAAAGTTGATCAATTTGAGGCAGGAACAAAGCCCTTCATTCTATTTATAGGCCATCCCAGGCATCCCTCCATAGAGAATAGGTTCCAGATATTCAGTACAAGCACTAGGGATAAATCCTGGTCCCACTACCAGTGGCCTCACAGACTGCTCAAGACACACAATTGTTACTCTCATTCAGAGGACCTACTTTGGTGCTATGCAGGTTTCTCCACTGCCAGTCCAGAGTCAGTGAACTCCCACTAGCTCAGCTTAGCTATTTCCGGTCCTGATCTCTTTGCTCATATTATCGCTCATCCATCCCTTGAATTGGACTTGCAGAGCTCAGCTCAGTGCTTTGCTGTGGATTCCTTCATCTGCCTCCATCAGTTGCTGGATGAAAGTTCTATGATGACAATTAAGGTAGTCATTAATCTGATTACAGGGAAAGCCAGTACAAGCATCCTCTCCGATATTGCTTAGGGTCTTAGCTGAGGTCATCCATATGAATTCCTGGGAAATCACCTACTGCTAGGTTTCTTGCTAGTGGCTCCCTCAGTCAAGATATTTCTTTTTGATTTACCTCTCTGGCCCTCTTCTTGACCATTCCAGTTCCTCGGGTTCTCCTCTTCCCCTTTGTCCTTCTACCTCCCCATGTTCTTTCATTTTGCTCCCTATTCACCCTTCCCCCAACTCAACCATTTTCTTCCTGTATGTTCTCATCTTTCATCTGCTCTGCTCTACTGCCCCCACACTCCCAGTTTACCTGGGAGATCTCATCTATTTCCTCAGGAGTTCCCGTCTTTTTTCCCTTCCTAAGAGGATTTATGTATGTCTCTCTTAGGGTTCTTCTTGTTACCTAGTTTCTCTGGGGTAATGGACTATAGGTTCATTTTTCTTTTCTGTACATCTAATAATCACTTATGAGTGCATACATACCATGTTTGTCTTTCTGGATCTGGGTTACCTGAGTGAGGCAACAAGTTTCTTTTTTTTTTTTGTTCTAGTTCCATTCATTTGCCTTCAAATTCCAAGATGATATTGTTTTTATTGCTGAGTAATACTCCATTGTGTAAATGTACCACATTTTCTTTATCCATTATTTGGTGGAGGGACATCTAGGTTGTTTCCAAGTTCTGTCTATTATGAATAATGCTGCTGTGAACACAGTTGAACTTGTGCTATTAGTGTGAATCCTTTGGGTATATGCCTATTGTGGCATATATTGGTGGGACTTGAGGTAGATTGATCCCAAGTTTTCTGAGAAATTGCCATACTGAATTCCAAAGCGGTTGTAACAGTTTGCATTCCGAGGAGCAATGGAAAAGTGTTCCCCTTACTCCATATCCTCTCCAGTGTAAGCTATCATCAGTGTTTTTGATCTTATCCACTTTGACTGGTATAAGGTGGGATTATAAAAGTTGTTTTGATTTGCATTTCCCTGATGACTAAGGATGTTGAACAATTCCTTGGTGAAGATCCCTTCCCATTCTGTAGGCTGTTGTTTTGTCTTTTTGACTATGTCTTTTGCCTTTGAGAACCTTCTATTTCAGGAGGTCCCCTTTATTAATTGTTGCTCTCAGTTTCTGCACTACTGATGCATTAGGAAGTGGTCTCCTGTGCCCAGGCATTCAAAGCTACTTCCCTGTTTCTATTATGTGAGGTTCAGTGGGGCTGGATTTATGTTGAGTCATTCGATCTATTTGGAATTACATTTTGTGCATGGGGTAGATATGGATTTATTTGCATCCTACAGGTAAACATACAGTTATGCCAGGATTTTATTGTTGAAGATGCTTTATTTTTTCCATTGTATAAATTTAGCTTCTTTGTTCAAAAATCAGGTGTCCATAAGTGTGTGGATTAATATCCAGGTCTTTAATTTGATTCCATTGGTACTCATGCCTGTTTTTATGCCAATACCATTTTTTTTTATTACTATAGCTCTATAGTAGAGCTTGAAGTCAGGGATGATGATACCTCCAGAAGTTTTTCTGTTGTAAAGGATTGTTTTGGCTCTCTCGGATTTGTTGTTTTTCCATATGAAGTTGAATATTGTTCTTTCTTTCGAGTTCTGTGAATAAGTGTGTTGGGATTTTGATGGGTATTGCACTGACTCTGTAGATTTCTTTTAGTAAGATTGCCATTTTTATTAGGTTGATCTTTTCTGGCCAAGAGCATGGCTGATCTTTCCATTTTCTGGTAGCTTCCTAAATTTCTTTCTTTAGATATTTAAAGTTCTTTTCATACAGATCTTTCTGTTCTTTGTCTAGCATTACACGAAGTTATTTTTTCTTACTTGTGGCTAGTATAAAGGGTGATGTTTCTCTGTTTTTTTTCTCAGTTTCTTTCATTTGTCATTTGTATATAGGAGCAATACTGATTATTTGAGTTTAACTGTATTCTGCCACATTACTGATGGTATTGATTAGTTGTAGAAGTTACAACTTTTTTGAATTTTTGGGGTGAATTATGTCTACTATCCTATTATCTGCAAATAATGAAAGTTTGATTTCTTCCTTTCTCATTTGTATTTTCTTGATCTCTTTTTGCTGTCTAATTGCTCTAGGTAGAACTTCAAGTAGTATATTGAAAGATAAGGAGAGAGTGAACAGCCTTGTCTTGTTCCTGATTTTGGTCTAATCACTTTGAATTTCCTTCCATTTAATTTGATGTTGGCTGTCAACTTGCTGTATGTTACTTTTATTATGTTAGGTAGGTTTTTTGTATCCCCGATTTCTCCAAGACCTTTATCATGAAGGGGTCTTAGATTTTGTCTAAGGTTTTTTTTTTCAGTCTCAAATAAGATAACCATTTTTTCCTTTCAATTTATTTATGTTGTGGATTACATAGACAGATCTTTGTAGGCTGAAACATCCCTGCATCTCTGGGATGAAGCCAACTTGATCATGGGCATGATTTCTTAATGTGTTTTAGGGTTCCAATTGCCAGTATTTTATTGAGCATTTTTACGTCAATGTTCATGAGGGAGATTGGTATGTAATTCTCTTTCTTATTGATTTTGGCTTGGGTATCAGGGTAACTGTAGCCTTGTATAAAAGTGTTTGGTAATGGTCCTTTTGTTTCTATTGTGTAGAACAATTTGAGGAGTGTAGGTATTAGCTCTTCTTTGAAGTTCTGACAAAAGTCTACATTGAAACCAACCAGCCCTGGGCTTTTTTTGGGGGGGAGGGGACTAATTGGGGAGAGACTTTTGATGAAAGCCTCTATTTCCTTAGGGGTTATAGATCTATTTAAATTGCTTACGTGTCCTTGATTTGGGGCACCTATCCAGAAAATTGTCCATTTCTTCTATACTTTTTTCCAATTTTGTGGAATATAGGCTTTCAAATTATGAGCTAACTATTTTCTGGATTTTCTCAGTGTTTGTTGTTATATCCCCCTTTTCATTTCTCACTTTGTAAATTTTGATATTCTTTCTCTGTCTTTGGTTCATTTAGATAAAGGTTTGCCTATTTTGTTGATTTTATGAAACAGTTCTTTATTTCATTGATTTTTTGTATTGTTTTCTTTATTTCTATTTTATTGATTTCATGATGGGGAAGCTCAGCCAATCACATTTGGCTAGGTTGTGGCTGCTGGGGCCCAAGGAAGAAGGACCTGGGGATCCAGGTGCCCACCCCTTGTTTTCTCTTTTTCGAGCCTGCACGTGATTCTCGCTGGACCCTGGTCATGTGAGATTGTCTTTCTCCCAGTTATTAAAATTATATTCCTTGTTTTTGAGCTACCTGTCGACCACGCCCAACATTTGATGCTTCAATGTGATGGACTAAATCCACTTAAAAACCTGAGAGGGCTTAAAAAGAGAGAGAGAGAGAGAGAGAGAGAGAGAGAGAGAGAGAGAGAGAGATTAACATATATTTTTGCTGTTTGCTAGAGTGTGTTGCAGATAAATTTTCCTGACTCAGCCTCAGCAGGAAAAAAGTTGCGACATTTTCAAATGCAGTGCAAACTCTGGCTTTAAAGCATTTCAATACTTTTATGAGACTATATGTGTGCCCACTTGGGATCAGGAAGAAAGTACTCTGAGACTATGCCAATGGCTCTTCTCTCCCTGCCTGGGCAGACTGTGGGATCTGGCTTAGGCAGGCGGGAGAGCATGACAGATTTCTGCCGCTATACAGAGAGATGTTTCCAGGCTGCTCAGTGCTCGGCGTGGCAGATTTGGATGTAACTCAGATTAAAAGCTCATTCTCAGAGTAAAACTGCTATGGCTTGCTTGATGGCAATGAGGACTTGCTGTGTGCATGGAACTGTGCACAGCTCAGGGACACCAAATGGCTGAGGTAGGGGCTGCTCCGGCTCTGCTCTGCCATGCTGAACGGTGCTGACCTCAGGCAGAAACTATTCTAATTATCATAATAACAGCACAGTTAAGGTTTAGACTGGCAGTATACAGGTGATACCATATTACCTCTACATGATGCAACTTAAGTTTTTAAGAAGTGCTTAGCATTTTAAGAAGTGCTCCTGGACAGGAAAAAGGTTACAGGCAATGCAATAGGACAAATTCAGACATAAAAGACCTCTAAATGCGTCATAGTGTTAGACATGCATAGGCTTGGGAGAGAGGAGAAAAAGAATATAAGGAATAAATTTAATGCCTCAAAAAAGAGTGAAGTCTTTAAAGAGACAGAGTACAGATAGTTATAGATTAAAAGAAATAAAGAAAAATAAGCCACGTAAAAATAGAAAGTTCACAGAGAGTTTGGATTCTGTATATTGTATTTTCTTTCAATTTTTTGACAGTCAAGGAGCTAAATACAGAGAGACATTTCATTGTATGGGCTGCTAAGCTGATCCAACATGTATTTTGTAAAGGTATCATGACTTCCGAATTTGGGTCTAAGAATATGATGCTTTGGAGAGGGTCTTCTTTTGTTTTCACAGAGGAGGAGACCCTTTGGATTGCTTCTATCCTAATATGGTATGATATGCCCTCCTGAAAGGGTGCTGTGAACACCCTCAAAAAACTTCACTCAACTGCTGACTGAGATGAACCTGGCACAAAGTTTACACCATAAAAGATCTGATTAACAGCACCCCCATTCAGCATGAAGCAGTTTAGAGAGAAATAACTACGTCCATATTCCCAGATACTGTTTATAAATGTTCTTTTACATTTAAAGGGGGATATGATATAGTTCTTGGTTTTCTTTAAGAGATTTATTGATTTCTTCCAATTTTTGCTTGTCCTTTCCTCCATATTTTAAAGGATTTTTTTTCATTTCCTCTTTAAGAGTCTCTACATTTTCATAAAGTTATATTTTTTCTCTTCTTCTGTGTTAGGACACTAGAATTTGTTGTTGCCATGCTGCTCTTTAGGTTTTTGAATATATTCTTGCATTGGTACATATCCATCTCTTCTTGTAATTGATTCAGGCAGTATCTTTGCTTCTTGGTCCAGTCCTTGTAGGTGGTGTATGTGTCTTTGAGATTTTGTCTTGGACTGATTGTTGCAGTCGCTTTCTGAGTCAGGGAGCTGATCTTGATCTGCTTTGTACAGTCCATGTCTGTGTCTCAGGGAGTCAGTGAGGTCATGGTGATTGGGTGGGTTTGGAAGCAGAGTGGAACTTGGAGATAACTGGGTTTGATGAGGGTTTCTGAAGGAGCCTGCCTGTGGGAGATGTGGCTGAGGCAGGTGGAAAAGGGGCCTAGGGTTTTGCCTTGGATCCTAGGGTCTAGAGACTGAGGTCTACTTATTATTAAACCTTAGCACTAACTTCATAACTGTGTGGGTAGCAAAGCTTGGTCTCTGACATTCTGGAAATTTACAGTTGAATGATAGACAGGGGCTATTTTTTTTTACAGGTAAAATGAGCGAAAATCACATTGTCTTCTTGGGTTTCTGTGCTATTATGGTCCAGAATATTGTTAGGAGAACTTTATCTGATGTATCTATTTTCCATCACTCATAACTTTTAAAACCATCATGCACTAAAGAACACACATCTTCCTTATACACTGTTAACCATAACTTGGCAGACAATCATGGTAGAAGCAAATTTTGAGGCTTAAACACTCTTAGAATTGTGGTCATGTTAATGATTCTCCTAAAAAAGAAAATACTGATTGTTATGTGTGATTGTGTGATCTGCTAGGTCAACCTGATATTCAAAAGAAGGAAAGAACTCAGATTAGTATAAGACACATAGAAAAATCTATGCAAAATGGGGACAGTTATTTTGGAGAACAGGGATGTCTGCAAACATGTGTGAGTTTAAAAGCTTCTGGGAGTTCTGGTTGCAGCCCTAACATTCATAAAAATGGATTTTTCCACTATTTGCTCTACCTATTGTTCTAAATTATTTTTTGATATTTTGCTCTCTAAAAAGATTTGATAATTTATTAAGGATAGTATAAAATTAGAAGATGCAATTAGAAAACATGAAGACAAGAAAAGAGATTATTAAGTGTGGAGTGCAGTGAAATTATCTATGTAAGATTCCATCTATTTACCAGAAAGAGTCTGCAAACTTGAGTCACAGCCTGTTTAACAGGAAAAGGTTCTGGTTAAGCCAGTTGGAAGGTCTACACCAAGAGAATCAGCATTCCTTGCAGTGAGACCCTTGTGTTGAGAAATTTAAAAATATCACTAATTCTTCTAATAAATGTTATGTTTAAAAGTGCTGTAAGGATGCTGTTGTTGGCTGAGCCACAACAAGATTTCTGGAGTCTTCCTAAGTTTTTTGCTAATCTGTTCTTCCACAATGGTGTATTTACATCAGTATCCGAGCTCAAACTTCATCATAGAGCATCCCTTGAAGACTCCAGAGAACAGACTAGTCACTGTGTAGTGAATTCAGGATATTAATAGAAGGAAAAGAGGAGAAGAAATGAAAGGGTGTTGCCATAGATAGGATTTCATCTCCTTGTTGTTTGGATTGATGACACAATAGGGTTCTGATTCTTATAAAGCCAGTTCCTTAAATGATGATGTAGAACTTTAGCCCAGAGGGATCAAGATTTATCAAATGTATTTCTGTAACACTACAGAATCTGTGAGAAGATTTCAGTTTACCAGACACAAAATGCAAGACTGGGTTATCTTGATGGTATTGATATTCTCTTGTTTCAGATTTCTTGCCATTCATGAAGAGCCTCTTCTGCAATCCGATTTATATGATTCTTGTCCTTGTAACTGTGCTTCAGATCAGTTCATATGCCATAATATTTGTCTTCACGCCTAAATACCTGGAACAACAATTTGGAAAATCAACTGCAGAGATAATATTTCTCATGGGTATATAATTTTATTATTTCTTTGGTAGCACTTTCCCTTTCCTCAAGGACATGATAAAAATGTCTCCAAAGACAAGCGAAACAATATGATAATTTGACTCAGAAACTACAAGTCAATTAATGTGTGTTTGCAAATTTTTAAATTTCTTCTTTCTAGTCTCCAGGAAAGCAACTTAAGAATTGATAAAGAAAGGAAAAGGCCAGAAAAACGCTCTCTGTTCTCTCTCTAATCATAATGAAATAATAATCATTATAGAAATCTTTAGGGATGTTCATATTAGTTTTCAGATAGGCAACATATTAATTCAAAGAGGAATATCTTACTCCCAGATTTTACTTCTGAGTTTCAAGTCTTGCCTTTCACATTACTCCTAATTCAGTTGCTTTGTCCCCGGGTGGTTTATGGAGTCCATGCAGTCACGTCTGCTTCTTTTGTTAGTACAGTAAACCTAGGGATCCTACGTAACTTTGGATTTTTTCTGGTTTCATTTATATAGATGGAAGTTTAAGTCCTTCCAGAAACTCCCAAATTAACACATCAAGGCTTATATTAATTACAAATCCTGTCAAAAGCTTAGGATTATTGCTAACCAGCTCAAACATTTTAAATTAACGTGTAATCCTTATTACATTCTGCCACATGGTGGCATCTTTATTAGCATGGCACATTAGTCTCCTGCTCTCTCAGCTTCTGCTGGTGACTCCTCTGACTCCACCCTTCTTCTTTTCCTCATCCTTAGTTTCAGTCTCCCACCTATCTCTATCCTGTTCAGCTATTAGCCAGTCAACTTCTTTATTAAATCAATGAGAGATATACACATTTACAGTGTATAATAGGATTATTCCACAGCATTTCTCACTTTTTGTCTAATTAAAATGGAAGGTTTTAACTTTAACATAGTGAGATTATAAACAGCAAAGACAGTTATTAATTAAGAATTATAGGTACAATATCTAGTCAATTTGTATTTTGCAAAAGTAGATAAAATATTCTGTCATCTATCTCATCTTGGTGATTCTAAAATTCTATACTTAATTTATTTATTAACTGAGGAAAGTTCTAATTGTGATTATCTAATTCAAAATTCCATAAAGACCCCAGAAGGATGAAATGTTACTTAATAACAGGACATCTTGCTGCCTGGACAGTCAGTCAAATTTCTCTGTAACATTGGGGCATCATCTATCTACTGTCTACCAACTTAGAGTATCTGTCATAATTTTCTTTGATGCAAGAAATTTGAAGGACCTTCCTTTCTTGTATAAGCAAAGTTTATCGATTATTTTCCTTTGTGTCCTGCAGAATGTCTGACAGATTCTTTCTTGAAGGAGGAATCTCAAAGGACTATCATGCCTTGTATTGGAAAAGTTCAACAGATATTTTCCTATCTGTTCTGCAGAATGTCTGGCAGACATTTCTATGAAGCAGGAATCTTGAAAGACTGTCCTGCCTTGTTTTGGCAAAGTTCAGCAATCTATTTCCTATGGGTCTGGCATGTCCATTTTATAGAGCATGCAGTCAAATAGTCAAGGCAAATGTAGTTTTTTGCCAAAATGACTAATCTTGCCACAAAGAAAGCAAATGACTACAGAGTTGAATTGATGTCTATTACTTTCTCTGAAGTAAATTGGTGCTACCAGGAGATGTTTCTTATTGTCATGAAAAACCCTATGTTATCAAAACATTTTATATGTCATATTTGTAAATATTTGAAGTGCTTGAAAATCATTTATCTATCTAAAATATATCTCTACATGATCTTGAAAACATACTAAACATATCTAAAAGTATAATTGTTGTAAGTGACTCACTACTAACTTGTATTTGTTGATTAGCCTAAATATTTTATAATAAATTTCAAAAACTAGAATTTTAGCTTTTATTTTTTAATGAACTGTGAAGGTATAACAACTTAAACAACAGTAGAATCATATATGCCATGTCACAAAGTTAACTTTAAATTTATCTAAATAACTGTATTCCCCTAATTAATAGCAAACATCCATAGGCCACCAAATAACCAATAGTTTTCTCCACATCTCTTGGGAGTGTGGACATCATGTTCTATAAACTGCTTTTTGTTGTCTGTTGGTGAAGGCATCTTTAGGGTGCCTGAGAATATTTGAGATAATGAGCAAGTGCTAAAAAGATAAGCAATAAACTTATAGATATCATCTGCAAGATTTGTGAGGACTCCCATTATGAAATCTGACATTGTTCCTGAAGGAATACACAGATTCTTGTTTCCTGTGGGAACAAAAGCAAATACTGTTCTCCAAAACATTTTCGGTTTTTATTTGACAAGTATATTTTTATTTCATTTTAAAATTTAAGATACCTATAAAGGTAAAATTTGCAGTCCTGTTCACAATTCCATGTCCCCTAGAATGTGTTTTTACTCATTAGAATTCAAAATTTTCAAAATCAATACAATAACATACCTTATCCAGCCTTTCTTTGTATTCCCCATCTCCACATGGCTTATCCTTTTTTATTATTGTACTTTTCTCTTTTTAAAGAATTTATTGCCAGGCAGTGTGGCACACGCCTTTAATCCCAGCACTCGGGAGGCAGAGGCAGGTGGATCTCTGTGAGTGAGTTTGAGGCCAGCCTGGTCTACAAGAACTAGTTCCAGGACAGGAACCAAAAGCTATGGAGAAACCCTGTCTCGAAAATCCAAAAAAAAAAAAAAAAAAAAAAAAAAGAATTTTCTATTTTAAACTTTTTTTCTCAGTTTATTTGCTTTCTTAAACTTATATGTATTTTTATGCACCATAGCACATTTAAACATTATTTTTCAATCTGATTCTCTTTTTATTGTGTATCTCTATCCTTTTATGATGACATGAGTCAAACCTTAAACTGCTAAGTGGATTTTCACTGGCAGCTCTTGTGGCTGACTCCACCTGCCTGCTTCCCTGGGACCTGAGTCTCATGGCTGAGGTGTGTTTATCACCAGCTCTGGAAGCTGTTACTGCCCTAACTCTGGGAAGTTTCTGAGTTTACACAGCCACCAAGTAGCATCTCGTCCACCATTCATATACATCAATAAAGAGTTTAGTAGCAGAGCCTCTCAAGAAGGCTGCCCATTTTTTGCCATGCCAGGAAGCTGTTTCCTAAAGGATTCACACCTCTGCTCACTGACAGCAAAGAGAACTCACTGGAGAAAAGGCAGTTACCAATAAGTTGCTTCTGACTACATTTTTGTGCTCTCAAATATGCTCACTGAGGCTTATACTAATGGTAAATGCACAGTCAAAAGCTCAGGCTTACTACTGCCTTTTAAATTAACCCATATTTTTATTGTTTGACACATGGACGTACCTTTATTAGCATGGCATAGTCTTCTATAGCTCCATCTGAATCGGCAGGCAACTCCCCCAACTCCATCCTTCTCCTCCCCCTCATTCTCAGTTTGGCTTTCCTGCCTATTTCTATCCTGTTTAGCTATTGGACAGTCAGCTTTTTATTAGACCAATGAGAGTAATACATATTCACAGTGGATTATTCACAGTATGTTTACTATTGAAAATTTTCAATCATAGGCTGGCAGCATCCACATTATATAGAGTTCTTTGAAAGTCCAAATCCCAGATTTATATCTGCCTACCCTCAGATATAAAAAATTAAATGCAATGGTAGTTCAATGGAGTTGAAAAGGATGCATAAATACTTCTGAGTTTGGGGCTGATATTATATGAATGCAAACTAGACAGTATTTTATCTTCCTTTTCTTATTTTTTTAATTTTTTTTTAAAGCAGTGGAATTAGAGTCAGGAAGAAAGATTTCTGGGCAACATAAGGACTGCACAGATTGTTCTATAAATTGATAAGCTTGGGTTCAATGGGGACCTTCAAAATTACAGAGCAGATAGAAGTATCTAAAAGACTTAGGTGTTTATGAGTTTGTGTGTCTGTCTCTGTGTGTGAGGGTTACAGTGTGTTTATAACTTGTTTCAAATAATTAGGCAAATGACAATTGTCTTTCTAAAGTGACATTATGGGACATTTGAAATGTGAATGAGTAGGGGTTAGGATGACTGTATATTTGAGTTAAGTAATTTCCTAATAAGATTTTCTAAAAATTGATAACATTTCTTTTCCTGATGTGTTTTATAAGTACTATTCTTTTTTCATTTATAGGTATTTATAACTTACCTGCAGTATGTATTGGATATTTAATTAGTGGTTTGGTTATGAAAAAGTTCAAGTTTACTGTCAAGAAAGCTGCATATGTAGCTTTCTGCGTATCCCTGACTGGGTGGCTTCTATTTTTCTTAAACTTCCTGTGGACCTGTGATAATTTCCCAGTTGCTGGCTTAACTACATCTTATGAGCATGAACGGTATGTTATTTCCTAAATAAGATCATAATATTTTCATTATTGTTAATCCATTTTTCTTCAAGCACTGTATATGACCAGGTCATTTTATTACAACATAGACAATTATCCATAGTTATCCTCTATTTTTCTTCCATCCTTCAATCATACACAATTGTGAGCCTATTAAAGAGGCCTAGGGATACCACTTAGTATATTTATAATTCTATATACATATAAGTGTTTGCCAAAATGATATCCTAGTCTGCTTTAAAGTATAATGAAGAAAATAACCTAGATGTTTGTAGCCTAAATTATCCATGTATTCTATACTCGAGATCACTTTAAAAGTTGACTATAGAACAACGGATAGCATTAAAACTCAACTATACAGGCAAGAAACCTTCATATATTTCTACAATGGGCACAAATTTAGCATAATTGAGTCTAATACATGGTAATTCAATACATGTACATATTTATTTATTACACCAGTATAATTATATCTCATATACTTTGTAGTCTTAGACATTGTATTTTAAGGATTACCTGGTCATATTCTGTATTAGCATAGGAATTGTAAAACTTAGTTTAGGGCAGAGTTATATATCATCCAATCAGCTAAAATGAAATAAAACATATAAATGAGGATTTCTTTCAAGGTTCTGGGGAGACAACTCATTTGTAATATTAACCGAACAAGCAGAAGGACCGGAGTTTAGATCCCCAGAATGCATGTATAGCTTGACATGGTATCTGTAATTCCAGCAAAAAACCAGAAAGACCAAAGGCCTGCTAGTTTGGCATATGCATCAGTGAATAACAGGGTACTCTATATCTAATGAGGTGGAAGTTTATCTTCTGCTCTTACATGTATGGTGTTGTATATGTGCTTATACACACATACATACACACACACACACACACGAACACAAGAGAGAGAGGGAAAGAGAGCAAGACAGAGTGAGACAGAAACTCCAAAAGGGGGGGGGGAGAGAGAGAGAGAATAGTAGAGGGAAAGAACCACAATTCATCTCCTCCTCCAGAACAAAAACAGATTAAAAGGACTAGCTTGAGCAAAGTCAGCAATTTCCATTTATAAAATAGATATTTCATTTACCCCCTACCCTAAAAGAGTAGTTTGAGTCATCAGACATGCTCTTCTGCAATAGAAAGCACCTTTTCTATTTTATAATGGGTTTAAAAGAGGGTAACTTAGGATTCTAGAGGTCAAATTGAAATCCTATCACACAAACCCAGTGTGAAGTAATCATGACTAGAGATGGAGTTACTATGTATAAATCTACTTTTGTATTATTGAAAACATTTTTTGAAAATTTATTGATTCATCCTGTTTCATTTTCTATGTTTGTACACACACAGGCTGAGATGAAGAGAAGAAAATAAGTATCTCAGTGATTCTTCACTATCTGTAACATTATTTTAAATCATTTCAGAACTCATCAGCCATTATATGTGGAGAATAAGATTCTTGCTAACTGCAACACAAGGTGCAACTGTTTAACCAAAATGTGGGATCCAGTGTGTGGAGACAATGGAATAGCATACATGTCAGCCTGCCTTGCAGGCTGTGAGAAATCTGTTGGAACAGGAATTAACATGGTAAACATCTTTTCAGTGTTGGAGGCTGATGTTATGTTCACTTCAATAATATGTGCTATGATCTAAGCCTACATCTTCTAAAAGGATAAAATTAGCTTATGCTTAATATAGATATGATTACTTTTGTGAACAAATCACTTTACCTTGTATATGCATATTTGACCTTATTGTTCTAGATATTATGTAAAGCCCTGGCAGAGTCTGAGAATTATTTTGTAATTTAAGAGCAATTGAGACCATTTTTCAAATTATTAGAGTTAAAATCCTCAGAATGGGTGGTAGGACTAGCTTAGCAGTAAGAGCACTTGCTACTCATTCAGTAAACTTGTTTGGTTTCCAGCACCAAGAGGATCAGCTCACAAGTCCAGCTCCAGGACAATCTGAAATTCAATCTGACCTTCCTCAGACATCAAATAAACCTGCTTTAATACACACAGATACAGAAGCACACATATAAACATTAAAATTAAAACTGTAAAATGCTTTGGACAAAGTCTAACCTTTTTTGTAATAGAGATTTATGAAGTTGAGCCAGACTCAAACAAGTTGTAAAGTTGAGGCAGGAAGATAACTTACCTTTTCATATTATGAACTTCTTTCATTTATTTATTTATTTATTTATTTATTTATTTGTTGTCGTTGTGTTTGTGTGTTGGAGGAGTGAGGTCGAGTGCTTGTCCCAGCCGTACAGAACCAAAATAACCATACAGAAATTGTATTAATTAATGCATGGCTCATAAGCTCTAGATTCTTATTGGCTAACTCTTATATTAATTTAACCCATTTCTATTAATTTGTATATTACCATTAGGTCATGGCCTACCAGCAAAGTATTAGCATGTCTATATCTGGCAGTGGCTCAATGGTGTCCCTCTCTCTTCCTTCCATCTCCCAGCATTCAGTCCAGTTTTCCCCACCTACCTAAGTTCTGCCCTATCAACAGGCCAAGGCAGTGTCTTTATTCATTAACCAATAAAAGCAACACATAAACAGAAGGACCTCCCAAACCATTTTCCCTTTTCTGTTTAAAAATGGAAGGCTTTAACATAGTAAAATTACATATAACAAAACAGTTATCAAGCAAGAATTACAGTTACAATATTTATATCTATTTTTCTTTTATAATAAGGGAAACTATATCTTATCTTTAACTCCATCAAATACTCCTGAAGGATATAATATTATCCAAGTAAACAGGAAGTGCTTTTCAAGCAACTTTCAAAACTCAAGGATTGACAGAGAAATCTTGCAACCTAGACAGTCACTCAGCTTTTCTGTGCTGTTGAGGCACATCTTCAGCTTACTGGCCCATTGTATCCAACAGACTTTTCCATAAAGCAGGAAATTTCAAGGACAGTTATACCTATAATGGCAGTTTGTCAGTAACTTTTTCTGTGTCCTATATAATGTCTAGCAGATATTTTTCCTGTAGCAGGAACCACGAAAGACCACCTCACCTTTAGACAAGTTCAGCCATAATTTCTCTGTGGGTCCTGCATATCCAGTTCAGCATTCCAGGCAGGAGCAGTTTCTTGTTCAAATGGATAGCAAACTCTATAAGGAACCTCTTCAATGGTTATCATCCTCTTGAAGTAGCTGGCTTTTCCAGAAGCAGATGTGTCTCACTGTCATGAAATGTCTTAAGTTCTTATACATTTTAAATTCTGAAGGTCTCTGAAATATTTGAAGAATACCTAGCTAACTAAAATATAACTTTACCCGTCTAGAAAATCTAACTTACATGACTACAAGATTGACTGTTATAGATGAGTATCTATTAACTTATATTTCTTAATTATACACTACATTTTAAAGGAACTACACAAACACAATACCTTAAACCAGATCAGAAATGAATATACATATAAGAAAATTGATCTCAAATTTGTATCAACAAATCAAGGTCCATACCAATGTAAATTATTCATATCTATAGCATATTCCATGTTCGGTGTAAACAAACAATTATAAACAATACTTGGAAATATGGGCATAGTTCTGTCCATAGTGCTTACAGCTGCTTGTGGGTCCTCTTAATCAGGTCTTTCGTGTTGTATTCTGTGTACTAGGTTCGTCTCAGTCAGCAGTTGGGGGAGTAATTTTTTGAGAGTGTTTTCAGTGGCCTTTCAGGGGCTAATGCTCTATCAAACAATATTGCTCTGGAAGCAATACACAGATTCCCATCTTCTGTAACAACAAAAAAAGAACCTCTTCTCAAAAACAACATATCTTAAGACTCAACTTTTGGAATCAAGATACCTTTATGTTGGTTTAACTTAGCAGCCCATACAATGTAATGTCGCTCTGTACTTAGCTCTTTCACATTCAAAAAATTCAAATTAAACCCAGTATATATATATATATATATATATATATATATATATATATATATTCCACAGTCTGTGAATTTTCTGTCTTTACATGGCTTATTTTTTTACTTCTTTTAATCTATGACTTTCTGTACTCTCTTTAAAGTCTTTACCCTTTTTAAAAAGTATTAACTTTATTTTATGGCTCTCTATACTCTTATTCTTCTCTCTTCCAAGCTTACATATACTTATACAACACTATGACTTATCTGAGTTTGTCTTTATTGCATATTTGTAATTACTTTCTGACCAAAAGTGCTTCTTAAAATGCTAAGCACTTAAGAATCTTTGCTGCAACATTACTAGGCTACATAGGGTACATCCTGCTTGCTGTGCCCATTCCAACATCGGCACTGCTTGCTGCTTCCAACAGCCACACTTCCAGGCATACAGCTGGTCCACATTGCCATTAAGCAAGCTGTATCATGCTTCTCAAAAACTGCATCCAAATACTTGGTCTCCTGAAAGAGCCAGAAGTCATGCTGCAGCAGGTCCCAGAAAGTCTGCATTTCAAAATGGCATGGCTTTTTTTTTTTTTGCTACTGCTGCATGAGAAAATCCTCTCTCAAAGGAGCCATGCCTCTGCTTCCTTCTAGTAAATGGAGCCCACTCGAGAAAATGCTGCTACCATGATGTGGAAGTCTGCTGTTTTGTGTTGATTTTATTGGTTAAATAAAGAGATTGCCTTGGCCCTTTAATAGGACATAAAATTAGGTAAGCGGAGTAAACAGAACAGAATGGTGGGAGAAAGAAGCTGAGTCGAGGAGTCACCATGATTCTCCCACTCCAGGCAGACGCAGGTTAAGATCATTCCTGGTAAGCCAGCTCGTGGGCTACACAGATTATTAGAAATGGGTTAGGTCAATATGTAAGAGCTAGCCAATAAGAGGCTGGAACTAATGGGCCAGGCAGTGTTTAAGAGAATACAGTTTCAAAAAAAAAAAAAAAAAAGAATACAGTTTCCATGTAATTAATTCGGGGCATAAGCTAGCTATGCGGGCGGCCGGGTGCCGGGGACACAGCCCCGCCGCTCCTAGTACAACACTACCAAACTATGCTTAACTCTGTTCTTTTGTGTCTAGGATTTCTTTTTATGCTTTCTCAGGTTTAAAATGGATGAAGTTACCCATGTTGGCACCAATCTGTTGGAGGAATGAGTCCATTTGTTGGTTCTTGCCACCCAGTGTAGAAGGGAGCTGTGGGCTGCGTTCCTGCCACCCCGGATCCTGGCCGCCTGGCGAGCTTATGCCCCAAAATAACAACACACAAACTGTATTCATAAAAACACTGCTTGGCCCATTTCTATTAATGTGTGTAGCACCATGAGGTGGCGACTTATCTTGCCTAACCCATATTTAGTAATCTGTGTAGAACCAGTCTTACCGGGAAAGATTCAGCATGTCTGACCTGGCGGCTTGCTTCATCACGTCTGCCACCTAGAGCAGAGGCATAGCGTCTGCCTGCTACCACTTCCTCCCAGCATTCTGTTCTGTTTACTCCTCCCATCTATGTTCTAACCTATCAGGACAAGCAGTTTCTTTATTAATTAACCAATGACCTTCCTCCATCAACCCAGAACCAACATAACCACACATAAACTTTATTACTTAAAAAATGCTTGGCCCATTAGCTCTAGCTTCTTATTGGCTAATTCTTATATTAATTTAACCTCTTTCTATTAATGTGTATATTGCCACAAGGTCATTGCCTACCAGCAAAGTTTTAGCACATCTATCTCCCACAGTAGCACCATGGTATCTTTCTCTCTGCCAACATTCAGTCCAGTTTTCACCACCTACCTACCTAATTTCTGCCATATCAACAGGCCAAGGCAGTTTCTTTATTCATTAACCAATGAAAGCAACAGATAGAGAGAAGTACCTCCAACATGGTGAGTGTGTGTGTGTTTGTGTGTCTGTGTGTGTGTCTGTGTGTGTGTGCATATGGAGGTGGGAAGACAACCTCTGCTGTGGACTTTCAGGTCCTATCCACTTTGTGCTTTGCGGACAGAAATTTGCTTACCTGGAATTGTTGATTCTGTTAGGCTGCCTGGCAAGTGAGCCCCAGGGAGTCATCGGTTTTATCCTTTAGATCACCAGTGTTGAGGGCACTTTATTTACACATGCATCTTTCACATGTGTGCTGGGGATCTGAACTCAGGTCCTCATGTCTGTGCAGGACTTTACAGATGGTGCCATCTCCCCAGCTCCATATCATTATAGCTCAGCAGATGAAGATTTAAGCATTTTTCCTTGCCTTAAACATGTTATAATACTTATAGAGTTGGTTGGTAGTCAAAATAAAATATAAATTTTGATTCTTAATCATACCTGGAAGCATAACTCAAAAAAGATTCACTTTATTCTTGAAATAAACTTGTTTTCTAGGGAACTTTATTAGTGAGCATGTAACTTGTTAGTATTCCATCACCATTCTGAAACACGTTTTGTTTTTGTACTTAGTACTGGGCCAAAACAAAACAATATTTGTTTACTTTTTAAGAAAAGTATGTGCAGGTTAGTAACTTGGTTCAGTGGGTAAAGACGTTTGTACCACCAGAGTTACATCCTGGGGCTTCATATGAGAGAAGAAGAGAACTAACTCCCATAACTTATCCCTGACTTCTATATAGATTTCATGGCATATTTATGTCTACCCATTGACACATACCTACATATGCATGCACATACATAAATGCACAAACACACATACACACACACGCATATATATATATGCATAGAAGAGAAAACAAAGAAAAAAAAACAAATAAGTATGCATTCAGGATAATTGAACTTTCGCAAATTTACTTCTTGAATTTAGAAAAAAATATCAATTCTTTAAAAAAAAAAATCCCCCCCCTTTGTATTTTAAGATAAAATTCTCAAATGCCAAAACAGAGATGTTAATAAGGGGGAAAAGAGCCTCCGTTTTACTTAGTTAGTGATTATTTAGTGGTATTTGTGCTCCATCTCATTCTTGTTAGATCAGTGTTCCTCCTCTGAGTCGTACCTTTGTCCTCAACACTTTCCAGTTTTCTCTAATTGGCTATGTAGCAAATACTGAACATTTATGCCCAATAGTTTTCTTCTGTAAATAGGGCGTTGTTTTGGTTTGTTTGTTTCATTTTAATTTTCTTTTGTTTTGTTTACAGGTATTTCAAAATTGCAGCTGCATTCAGTCTTCAGGAAACTCATCTGCAGTCCTTGGGCTGTGTAACAAAGGTCCTGATTGTACAATAAAGCTGCAGTACTTTTTCATCACGGCAGTAATTAGCAGCTTTATCTATTCACTAGCAGCCATACCTGGTTATATGGTTCTTTTGAGGTAATAAGAAACTTGTTCATTTATCTTTGTCTCTCTTCCTCATAGCAGTGTGGGCATACTTCAGTATATGATTTTGTGTGTGTGTGTGTGTGTGTGTGTGTGTGTGTGTCTGGCTGGCAGCTCCTGTGTGCCATGGAGAGCAGGGGAAGATCAAAAGATAATGTTGGGGATCAGTTCTCTCCACTTATCTTGCTTCTGAGTCCGGGTCTTTTTTATTTCTGCTGCTATCCTGGCTGAGTTCTAAATAATTCTGTTTTTTCCTTTTTTTTTTTTTTTTTGCATATGTCTGGTTTGAACTCTGGTCATCTAGCCTTTGTGGCAAGCACCTTTACACGAAGAATACCCTACCAATGCCATTTAGATTTTTGGGTCGCTTATTAAAATTCCTTTTCTCAAGAAAGACCCTTGGAGTAATGGTTCCCAACCTTGATGTTCTAAGTTACATTTATTAAGATTTTAACAAATATTATATTGCAATATTTAAGAGTAATGTAAAGTTTGATGGAATTTCTCTTCTGTTCCTTTTCTACTTTCTCCCTTTATGTCTTAAGCATACATTAAGGGACATCTAGGTTTAGAGGGAGATAGTATTTGCCTAAACCCATTTTCTATGCTCAGCTAAGTGACTGGCAAAATGTGAAAATCTATTTGTAAAAGTGACCAGGATCCCTTGACATCCTGAGCTCAATCTGTTTTTATCAAAAAGCATAAATTCAATAATATTATCTGACCAGAGGCACATGAATGCAGTAGTGGATCCTCTCTAAAGAGAAGGTATAAGAATAGAATAGTAGATACTATAATCTCTAGTATAATGTGAGGAAGTAACAGAGCCAAGTTTCAAGTTATTTTCTTCTTTCACATGATCTTTCTAGTCTAGCAAACTTAACAGACAACAACAATGAGGAGACTGTTCAACCCTTTTCTTGTCTCAATGGAATTCAGAAGCAAAGTTGTTAATTACAATGTGTCATCCTCTTCTCTCATGGTGCCTCTCCTCTCCTCTCCTCTCCTCTCCTCTCCTCTCCTCTCCTCTGCTCTCCTCTCCTCACCTCTCCTCTCCTCTCTTATATGGTCTTCTCTCTTCTACTCTTCCCTGATTTTCTCTCCCTTCCCCCTTCCTACCTTTCCATTCTTTGACTTTGGTTCTTCTTTCCCTCTACTTTTACCCACCAAAGCACTCACAGAAATAGCCTAGATATATGTTCTTATATATTCATTTTCCATAGTAAGTTGTGATATTTTTATATTCACACAAGTGGAGATGTGGTATGCCTTGTTTTAGTTCATAGACAGATAAACACACCAAATACTACTAGTTCTGCAGATTTATTTTTGCTAGTGAGTGAGATTTGTCTGTGGCATCTGTCACCCCATCATGTTTCAGGCTGATTCAGCTGATCTGGCTACACAGTGTCTCCTTTCTTCCTCAGTACTCCAGGTGTCATTATTCCAAGGCAGCATGCTCAGTTAATAAGGATAAGTACTCATAGAGGAGGATGGTCCTTGGTAAAGGGAATATGATTAGCTGAACTATGCTGTTGGATCCCCTAAACACACTTCCTGTTCCCACTTCCACGTCCCACTCACTTTTTCAATCACCCTAATTTCTGAAGTTGACTCTTCAACTTGATGTAAAAACTGTGGCCCATTTAATGTGTAATTTTTAAAAACATTTAGTCTCTCTCTGCATGTGTGTGTATGTATGTATTTGTGCCTGTGTGTATTTGCACGCTATGGCATGCATGTTGAAATGAGTGGACACCTTACAAGAGTTGGTTCTCTTGCGACTATGTCAATTCCCATTATTGAACTCAGTTTTACAATCTTGATGGTACCCACTGAGCAATCTTTTATACCCTAATGTGTGGCTTCTTGATGTAATGGGGTTAAGGTCTACTCAAATAAAAATTTCCATATTATTTTGACCTATTTTGCAATGTAAATAATAGATGGCATAGTACTAATGTTTGCACACTATTATTACTCTTGCTATGTTTTCTTGAATTCTTCCATTGAATCACTTCCAAAATGGAATCCCAGCAGCTGCATTTCTTATGCTTTTCTTACACAGGGGTTTATTTGGTGGGGAAAGACCGCATTTTGAAAGAACTTCTGTGTTCATAATTTATAAGAATATTTTCCAGATTTTATCCTGACTGCTTTATAAGCCTCCTCTTTGTATGTAGTTCACAAAACGATCTTATCTAATTTTTTGGGTGGTACTTGAAAGAGAAATATTTAATGTTTTTACCTGCATATGACAAAGGCCTTATCTTAATGTCATAGCCTACATGATGCAGTCTTTCTGTTTATCTATGGATTGCTTTTACTAAATCTTGAATTTTTATATAACATGTGTTAGTTTTTTTTTTTTTTTATCATCAGAACAAATGCTTCCAAACAACTTTAAAAGATTTATTTGGTTTGTGGTTTCAAAAGTTTGGGTCTATTAATTTGGGAATAAGGGTACTGCATGGTGATCACCATGGTAACCTAATTTATCTAGGTTAGCAGTCAGTGTCCAACTGTTAAAGGGTTGCACCCTGAATCAGATGTGTGGATGTCACAGGACAGCTATCAGAAGTCATTATTCTCCTCCCTTTGTGCATGTTTAACAGAGATAGAGCTGCATTGTCTTCTCTTCACGCTTAAAACTTAACCCTTAGGTTAATGAACAATAATTGACATTGGGTGGATGATAGGAAAGATATTCATTTGCATGATATACTTTTATTTATGTGAGTATGATTTTTCAGGTGTATCAAGTCTGAAGAGAAGTCACTTGGAGTTGGATTACATGCATTTTTCATAAAAGTATTTGGTATGAACAATTTTCCCAACATATCAGATCAATATCAAATGCTTAGTAAACCAATTAAATTTTTCTGAAGAAAAAGACAGCAACTATATTCTTAAGTCAAAACACAACATTAACCCTAAAGTTAATAAAAGGCTTTAATTTGAAATCAAACAAGAATCACCATGAAGGCAACAGAGATTTAGATCATCCAAGTATCATGTTTCAACATGATGACTGTTAGTGATGTTTATAGTTGAAGAATATCAGCAGTCATGAATAAGGAGCTTCTTAAACATATCTAGGGGGATGTCCAGTAAGTTGGTGACAGCATAGAATGGAATTCTCTGCTACAGGCTCAGATGCTGTTTGACAGCATCCTTAGTGTTTGGCTGAGTGGCGGATAGCATCCTGTTAACTCAATACATCCACAAAGTCTTCACGTGATAGATACATGGATATATGGTCAGACAGAGGGATGGAGCAATGAATGTCAAAAAAAGAGAGAAAATGTAATTTTTGTCTGGATCTGTACCATCCCAGCTATCCACATCCAGTGAGCTCCAATGACTTCATGGCATTTTTAACATAGGTGTGCTCTGCCCATGTTACTCTGAATTTCATTTTGAAGCCCCTGTGGTTAAATGGCTACGGTTAATTAGCCTGAGAATGAAGTAACTGCAGAGATGAAAAAAGTTTCCCCTTGTGTTTAAAGAACTTATCTGACTTTAATTACATTTTTTTCATCTTTTATGAGATTCAATAATAATGTGAGGAGGAAATAGTTTTGTTTTTTAGATGTACAGAAAACTGAAAAAATATTTCAGAAAAAAATTAGGTTCATAATTATGAATTCATTGCATAATTCTTTAGCATTTTATACATAATTTTTATTTGTTTTGATCTACATATTTTTAATTAACTGATAATTCCTTAAAGTAATCATAAAGACTTTTACTCATTATTTTTACATTTTTTAAATAGGGAAACAGATATACTTCCAAATAACATAGTTTTCTTTGCTTTTTTATTTCCAACGGCTGTTTTTCTTTTTCATCTTATTGCAGTGGGCATTCCAGTACCTATTTACTTTGGTGCCTTGACAGACAGAACCTGTTTACACTGGGGAACTCGGAAATGTGGGAAGGCAGGGGCTTGCAGGATGTATGATATAAATAAATTCAGGTAATAATAATTTTTGTGACATATGATTTTAGTACAAAGAGTTTTTATTCATATGTAACATTTAGAGTAGTAAGATGATACGTGTTTCATTTTTAGAATACATGTGAATTACCATTCCTTAATTAACTTCCTTAATTATGTATTTTAATATATTCCAACTATTCTAAAAGTAATGATGCATATAAATCTGAGTGGGTTTCTTAACCCTTCTAAATACTTAAAAATGGAACAGGGTGTCTAAGTGAACACTCTGAAACAGTAAGGGAAGAGCTGAATTTTGAGCTGAGCCAGCATGGCAAAACACCAGTTCTAAACAGGAAAGCAAGCTCCAGAGACCAGGGACAATGGCACAGTAGGTGGGAACAAATCTCTCAGCTCCTACCACCCCATAACTATGGACAAAGAGGAGGACTCCTTCTTTTTGCAAGGGCCAGGATGACAGTTCCAGCACATTCAAGCACTATGGATCCTGACATTAGAGCTTCTGGAAAGTTCACAATTGTCTCATGTTTGCACCCTGAAATGCTAAGAACCCCAAATCTGTCTGCTGCCTTTGCAGTTTAATAGAACATCTCAGGTGCCTTAGCCAGGGGCTACCTTGAGAAGGGACCTACCTGCTACCTGAATTTGACTGATGGTCTCATGTATGAAAACTTAGAGATGCTGCACTGTACTTAGTGATTGGCTGTCTCATGAACAAAATGTGGCTCAGTAGAAGAGTGTGGTTCAAATCAGCTGAGAGTGTCACAAAGTGGGAGGATGTTACCACACATAGAAATAACTGAAACCATTATCATCATTATCTAGCGTACCAGGAAGCCTGTCCTCTGAGATCCAGGTGCATCCAGTCGTGCTCTTTTATGCTGTGTCATCAACTTAAAGCAATACCTGCATGGTTCTCATCACTCTCAGTGCTATGCAGGCAACTGTCACTAATAGTATAGAGAAATGGTTGTGGGTTCACTGCTGCCTCACATCCAGAGGTCATTCTAGGCTGATCTTGAACCAGACATACTTTGATACCTTACTGGTCCTCGAGGGCAGCAGGTCTAAGAAAGCCCACAGAGAAGCTTCTCTTGCTATAGACTGCACTGGGCTCTTTCTTGCTCCCAAAATTAGGGGGAAAAATGCTGTAGATAATGTCCATTCTATCCATTCATTTGTGTCTGGGTGAGCAATATACTGAAATTCTGGGAAAGAAAAATGCTGGCCTGTCTTCAAGCACGTCTGCTGTGATCAGCTGACATGCCATTCCCAGGCTGGTGTATCCACCCTAAGAGTGTGGATGATCTGTTACTTCTGTCAGTGTATCTGTGTGGATTACAGTTCATTTTACCTTGGTATCCCATAATAGTGGCATGTAACCTAGATTTGTGAACTAAATTGACCCCTTTTTCCTTTAAGTTGATTTTTATTGGGATCTTTTAAAAAAGTGAAAGAAACATAAACTGATACTTTTTAATCTATTCCTTTAGAAAAATATTTTTGAATTGTTATAATTAAAGTCTATCTACACATATATTACAATTTTTATGTTTTAACACTGTAGAAGAGGATAAGATTAATTTCTCTATCATTTTGTGGTTTTTGGTATACTGTCTAAGGAATGATCCTGTTCCATGACTCTATTCACAGGTCAACAAAATACACAGGCTTTCACTAAAACTTCCTTCTCAGAAGATTCTAGATTGTATTAAGTCGACAACACTATCCATCACACCATATTTTCCTACAAATGTGTTGAGGATATGAAAGAATGCTTTCATAGTTATTTAGCAATGTACATATAAAAATACCTATTTTGTATACACATGAAGTCCCGAAATCTTAAGGCATATTTTATCAGATTTATAAAGAAAGATGCTTAAAATAGTATAAACGTTATTCTCAGAAATAGTGAAAAGGAAAATTACCTGATTCATTTTAGGAAACATCCATAGTCTTCATGCATAAACTGGACAAGTTCAGCAAATGAAAAGAATTTGTGGCTAAACATTTAGCTCAGGGGTTAAGAGCACATATTGCTTTTGCAGAGCACATGAATTCAATTCCCATAACCCATATTATGCAGCTCAAAACTTCCTGTTACTCCAACTACAAGGCATCCAGGACTACTAGAAAAATGCACATAGAGATACCCAACACCTACACATAGTTAAACAATGAAAAATAAATTGATCTTTAAACATGCAAAATTATGCATGAAAATAAACAATTTAAGCTATTAATATATAAAGTGACTAACTGGGCTTATTTTAGATATACAAAAATTTCAATGTCACAAAAATCTATTGGTATAAGACATATACAAATACTTAGTAGGAGAGAAATCTTGAAAAGTGATTTTTTCATGTTTTATTCATGAGTGATCAAACTCTGAGCCAACAAGAAAGATGATCTCCCTTAAACTGACAGGTATATTATTCTCAATATTTCAGAAAGCAGGCAATAATGGCAGTGTAGCATAGTGACTTGTAGTGTGAGGTACTTGTAGACACAGTTTGGCTAGGAGGCTGGTCATGTTATTTGCTCTGACAGGTAGTGTTGAGGGCTACAAGCCCAGTGCATGATATAAGGGACTTCATCCTCGGGTAAACATTTATGAAATCATATCATAGCACATCAACAGATGTCATTCTATTATGATCCTGAATCCAGTCAAGTTGACAAAAGAAACTAGGCATCACCAAACTGAAGAAATACATTCAAACTTTTATGTTTGAAATTTTTTGACATTTTAACAAAAATATTAATAACTTAGCAAAGTACCTTATAGTAAGTACATGTACAACATAATCACCTGATGTTTTTATTTGAAGAATAAATGATCTGTAAGAGTATACAAAATTAGATTTCATTGATCATGTTAAGATTTAATGCAGATTAGTTGTTTTCTACAGGAACATTTTCCTTGGGTTGCCAGCAGTACTAAGAGGATCAAGCTTCCTCCCAGCAATCTGCATTCTGATACTTTTGAGGAAGTTCCAACTCCCTGAGGAAACTGACACTTCAGAGACTGAGTTTGCAGAGATGAAGCTCACAGAGAAGGAAAGCGAGTGCATGGATGTGCACAGGAGTCCTGAGTTTGAGAACAACAGAGAACTGAAAACGAGGCTGTAAAGAGAGTTGCATTGACCTACACAAGTGCATGGACAGGGTGCATTTAGTTCTTTTGAATTATGGGAATTACTAAGGGAGCTATTTTCTTATGCTTGAAGAACCCAAGAATTATTTTTAATCATGATAAAAATATTTACTGATATTTTAGAAGCATAAGAGTGACACTTAAGGTTTGCCCAGGGAAGACTATGGTGACCCTAACACAATGTACTTTAGAGCTGCCTTCATTGTCAAACAGCATTTTCTCTTTTAACTCAATCAAAACAAGTTCACCTTTCCTACATATCTGTAAAAATCTTTAAGACTTTCCCATGCTTAAATACTATTCAATTTCATGGAATTTTGCTTTAATGTTATATTTATTTAGAGTGAAACATTTTCATCTTGGTTGTGTTACATTGAAACTATTTGTTCAAATTTATCCTTTCTATATGCAAAATATTGGCATACTTCTTTGTCTAGCTAGGAGTTCTTAATTCTCTTTTTTATCTAGGTATGATGCTTCTAAAATTAGATTTCTTATTAAATGTCATCTGTTGTTTTCAATCCCATGTTTCATTACTCATGTCACACATTTGATTACTTATAGCACTGAAAATTTTAATCGTGGTTTTAAAAATCATGAAGCAAAGATCTTTGGAACTTTTTTGCCCTAGCAATTCAAAGCCGGTCATAAAACTCACTCTTAAAAGCAAGAATTTGAGGAAGCCTGTATTTCACAGGCCTTCATAGAGAAGAGGTTGTGTGTCAGTGGTACAGTGATTGGCTAGTACATGTGAGGCTCTGGGTTCAACATCAAAGTAGAGCAAATTACTGAAAATAAATCAATAAAGGCTAGATGCAGTATCAGATGTTCTCAAAAGACTAGTATCTCATATTCAGTTGGCCTCTTTGATGAGAATTCATTTTACTCATGTGTCCTTAGACACATTGATGTCTATTAATTTTTAAAATATTCTTAGAGTATAACATTTAAATAGAGATCAGTTAGACGGCTCAGTGGAAAGGAAAGTTTGCCACCAAACCTGACAAGATGGGTTTGACCCCAGAGATCCACATAGCGCAAAAAGAGATCCATGTCTTGCAAGTTGTCCTATGTCATCTACTCCTGTACTGTGGTGTACATGCCCCACCTGTAAATAAATTAATTAATAAAAAGAAGAAAAAAGTATAAATGTTTAAAGAGTAACTTATTCTATGAAACTGTAATTAATAATATTGAAATTACACATTAAAAACAAAATCAAGTTGTGGTAGTTTGAGTGAGAAATGTCCATGCTAGGCTCAAACAATTAGACATCTGCACTCCAGTTGATAACTGTTTGTGAATAATTAAGGGTTCATCCTTAATGGAGGAAGTGCATCATTGAGCTGGATGTTGAGAGTTAAAAGCATTGCCTACTTTCAGTTCACTCTCTGCTTTGTGCTTTGGTTGAGCAAGTGAACTAAATCCCTAAAGATAAGGAGGATGAAGGAAGAAAAGTTGAGAAGTGGAGGTCAATATAGTGTGTTTGTTTATATATAGAGAGAATACCTACATGCAAGAGCAGATTAAAGGAAGCCACAATCTTACAATTCCTAGAGGGAACCAGTCGGTCCATGGGAGTGTTAAGTTTACATTTTCATTACTTGAACTGAGGCAAATCTACTTCCATGAAAGAAAGGCTTGTGTTGTTCATTCTCTCAGAGATCTTAGGACATGATCTCTTGGTCCTGCTCTTTGGAGCTGTGTCTATGCAGCACAGTGCGGAGGTAAATCATAGGAAGGAATTTGTTGGCATCACCTCAACTGGGGACCAAACAGAGATGTATGTAAGGAGCAAAGGGCCTAGAATCTCTTCCACATGTTTACCACCAAACTTCCTCCCTCTGAACCTCATGTCTTGATGCTTCCACCACCTGATGTGGTATGCCCTTCTGTGTTGTGTGAATATGTTTTATTACCATTGATAAAGGTTGATAAAGATCTGATTTGGCCACTAGCCAGACAGAATAGTGTTAGGGGAAATCCAAGTAAAGATTAGGTAAAGGAAGGTGGAGTCTGGGATATACCAGCAGCCCCCATGGAAGTAAGATGTGAGGCAACAAACCAGGAGGCTCATGATAAAATATGCAAAAATAGAATGGGTTGATTTAATTTGTAAGAGCTAGTTAATAATAAGCCTGAACTAAAAAACCAAACAGCTTGCAATTATTATTAATCCTCAGAATGGTTATTTTAAAAGTGACTGTGGGACTGGGTAGAATGAAAAACTTAAAGCTACAAATGGTGTACCAACATGAGGTGCTCAAATTTCCATAGGGACTGCAAGATAGTGATGGCTGACAGCTGCCATGAGCTAAGTTATGCAGTGGATGGTGTGTTTGGGCAGTCTCACACAGGCCTTGTTAGAGAGAGGCTAATCAGTCAAGCACTATGTTACAGATTTTGCTTTTGCTCATATGGACATAAAAAGTGTGTGGGCTGACTGTAAAATACCTGATGGCAGCATTGGGAAGAGGTGTGTGAAACACTGGCTAAGACACATGGATTGAATGAGACTGATACAGTGTAAAAAGAGCAGCAGACTGGGAAGGCTCCTGGCTAACTTTACCCAAAATAATTACACAGAAACTTTAAACACTGCCTGTCCCATTATCTGTAGCCTCTTATTGGCTAACTCTCACATCTTCACTAACCCATTTCAAATAATATGTATGCCAACATGAGGTCGTGGCTTGCCAGCATGAGTCTAGCCACGTCTGTCTCAGGATGGGGAATCATGGCATCTGCCTGATTCTTCTTCTTTCTCCCAGCATTCTGTTCTGTTTACACCACCCACCTATGTTTGCTGACCTACCAGGCCAAGCAGTTTCTTTATTAATTAAGCAATGAAAGCAACACATAGAAAGAAGAACCACCTACATCAATACAGCACATCAACCAGAATATCTTAAAAAATGCCTTAGCTTTCCTATCCTCCTGCAACCTTGGAGAAACTCTGAAACACAGCTTGCTCCAATACTGGGGGGACTTAAGAAGTGAGTGAATACCCACACAATGGAAAGCTCCACTCTCTAGGTCCTCCCTAGCGAGACAAAACCCCAGACTCCTCCCCCATCTTTCTTGGCTTTTCTAACTAGCCAGCAAAGAGTTCTCTGCTTCCAGCCTGCCACCAAATCACAAACCCATCCAGCCTACTAGCCACTCTGCCACCAAAACTGCCTGTTCTCCTGCAATACCAGAGGAACTCTGAAACACAGCTTGAGTCAATACTGAGAAGACTTAAGAGGTGGGTGAACAGTCATACATTGGGATGTCTACTTTCTAGGTCCTCTCCAGTGGAAAAAAAAACTCCCAGGCCACTCCTCCAATTCCCTAGGCTTTTCTATCCAGACAGCAAGGAATTTTCTTTGGCTAGGCTCCCCAAAAACCCAAACACATCTACTTGACCACACAGCTGCTAGCCACACCATGCCTAAGAACTGAGAGCTATAATACTGAGGGGACCAAGAGCTTGCTACAACACTGAGGGGAATAAGAAAGAGCACCAAAAGAACAAACCAGGAGAGAAGACCAAGAGAGTAGGCTTATAGAGACCTCAAAGTCTTTCTGACACATTGACAGTACAAAAAAGACCAAGAAAAACTCTCAAAGACTCAGACAGCCCCTGAAAAGATTGGAGCAAGATCCAAAGACTCTGCTGTCCTCCTTTGAAGGAAGAGGTGTGTAGGCACCAATGCAAGAATTCCTCCAACAACCTAAAAAGCAACATGGTAACACCAGAACCCAGCTCCCAAGTTCCAGTTGAAGAGTAGATGGAATGAGAATGTGAGCAAAGAAGTCAATACCATAAAGGGTTCATTCACTGAAACAGTTTACCTGAGCTAATGGGATCTTACCAACTCCAGCTGGACTAGGAAGGAACAAGCATAGAATGATAGATACTAGTCCCTCTGAATGTGGTTGACAGTTGTATGTCTGGGATAGACTGAGGGGCCACTGGCAGTGGCAGCATGATTTATCTATATGGCATATACTAGCTGTTAGGAGTATTTCTTAACATGAGCTCTCTGCCAACACAAATTCCCAATCAAGTCAAATTAAGAAATATCCAGGTTTAATGGGAGTTCTGCGCTCCTGAGTGGCCCTGAGGGGGAACAGGGAGGCCACAAAAGCAACCACTGGGTCGAAGGAAAAATGGACCACATGTTCCTTTTGGGGGAGTTCATTTAAATACTCTGTGGAAGTGGTCCTGAACCCCCAGGGAGGGGTAAAGCCCTGGCCTGCTATAATTTGGAGTCCAGACCAATATAACTCTCAGGGTCAGGACCTGGCCTGCTGGAATTTGGAGTCTAGACCAATATAACTCTCAGGCCTGGGGGTTGGGATAGATGTGAGGGGCTAAGGCCTATGTTCCCAATTTAACACTGGCTTTTGGGATCCTATTGTCTTTGGATGTATACCTTGCTCAGCCTAGATGTAGTAGGGAGGGCCTTGGACCTTCTACAAAGCAAGTGCCTTACCCTCTCTTAGGATTAGGTGGGGGTGGAGTGAGAGGGTGTGTGGAGGGAATTGGAGGAGGGGAGAGAGAAGGAATTTGGATTGGTATTTTTAAAAATAAATCTGTAGGCCCATATTTTCTACATGGTATGACAGCCAAGTTCTCAGAACATGGTTGGTATCCAAAGCCCTTACTGTCCTGCCAGACAGCCTGCCACTACCTAAGAAAAGGCCTTGGATGTACTTCTCCTCTTTTGTTATTATGTAGATTGCCTGGGAAGAAGTGTGAATTCCAAGTTAGTTCCCAAGTTGCTGAAGTTAGTGCAGTCCCACTACCCACCAGAAAAAGAATATTGATGATGAACTTCCACCTTAGTTTACCTTAGGGAATAAAAGGTAATCCTCAGGAATGAAGGAAGTCTGAGACTCCCTTACTATATTGCTGTGTGAACTGTGTCTCCATGCCTATCCAGGGAGGGGAAAAGTAGTTTATGTTGGGGTATCGGACCCTGACATAAATCTAATAAATGAAAAAAATGCATTAGCTTTAAAACAAAAGTCAAAATTTTATTTTTAAATGGAACTTGAATGATGCACTGCTTTGGAGAAGTGGGTTTGCTTTTGTTTTCACAGGGAACAAGAAGCGATGGATTCGTCCCGGGTGAAGATAGAGCAGGTTTGATGAAGGCAGATCTCATGAACCTTGACAAGTTTTGTCTTTCAACAATGGTTACCACTAGTCCTCCTAGGACATGATCATTATTTCAAAATTTGATCAGGGACCCTAAAAATACTTTGCCCACCAACATAAAGAAGCAATTTGGAGAAAATGATGTCCACATTCCCAAGAGTTTTGGGGTCATGAATGGTCTTTGGTTATTTTGTTATTTGTTGTTATGGATATTTGTTATATTGAGGGGAATATAGGAATACAGGAAAAAGGTAACTCTTATTCTCAGTCATTTTTGCATTGACATGCATTTATATACAAATATAAATATTAAGTTCATTTTATACACTTTATCTTTCTATGCTTGTTTCAAAAATTGTTGTATAGTGATAC